TACAGTAATTACTGTAGAATATGTGAAAATTTCAAGACAATAAAACCACTGCAGGCCTGTGTAATCTATATATTTAGATTGATTTATTTTGAATATCTGTGCGTGTCTGAACTCAGCTGATCATAGGGTATTTATATTACTATTTCTAATAATTACTTTTTACATTTGACAAATTGATGTAATTACTTTTCATTCCTTTATGTTTGTTTATTTAAAGTTTAGCACAAAGCTACACAATGGGCTATCTGTGCTCTGCCCCCCTGGGGTATAGGAACCCTGTTTCTAGCGTTGTAAGTTCGCATACATACCGCCGTGCCACATTACGCTATTGAAATAATTTAATGCAAAATTTAAAAACAAATCTTTTTTTTCAGAGTGATCTTAAAGATTATGTATTTAAAAAAAAATTAGGATGATAAGACGATCGCAAAGGCAAAACAAGCTAAAGACATATGAAGCTTCTGCCCGGTGGGTTTATTTACGTTCATGATCTCTATACAAATGATAATAAATATGTTATTTTTTATCAATTTTTTTATGGATTTTATATGATATCCCACTTTTCCCTTCAGAACCGCCCAGTCCCCCTACGGATGTTTCTGCAATTTCGCAAAGTAGCCGAACGATAGAGTTGTCATGGAAACCATCTTACAGCGGAAACAGTGCTATCACCAAATACACCATTCAATACAAAAACATTACAAGTAAGAAAAGATCCAAAAAAGCACAAAGAAAAACCGAAGTAGGAAACCTTGATGAAAAGCGTTGTTTTTCTTTGTGTGTATGTTTGTTTGTGTAGAAAACAAATTATTAAAACCACTAAGAGATATGTAAGAACACAACAATGAGTATTCCAACGAAGATTCGAAAACCGTTTTCTTTTTATATTGGATTATCTTAAAGAGTTGAGTCTAATTACTTTGAAATGTTTATCCGTTTTCGATAGAACATGAACAAAATAATGACGTGTAATTGAAGGTAATTGGTTTATCAGATTTGTTCCATTTTATCTCTAATAATATTAAATCTTAAAAATTACGCCGGCTACGAAATACCTTGATAAACCATTATTATAATAGTTATCTTTAAATGTTTTAGTCTCTATTCGATAAATTAAAATCGTTTAAAGTTTTAGGTTTTACTGTTCTATGTGTTCAGTAAAGAAACAACTTGTTTTTGTTTTTATTTTGTAAGAAAAAAAATGTCATTGTTTATATCTTTATTTTACGGAAAGAATATATTAATTTTGCAGGGATATAACATTTTTTTTTACTTCCGCCTAGGTAATTGGGAACAATGCTCGCAACTTGTGCTTTCTGGTTTTGAAACTTCCGCTACTGTGAGAGAATTACTTCCAGTTTCTTCATACGACTTCCGAATTATTGCTGAAAATGGCTTAGGGAAAAGCACCCCGAGTGAAGTCATTACCTCAACCACGTCGGAAGAAGGTAGCATAAAAATATACAGTTTATTTCGTAGCAGAAATTCAAATTTGTAACATATATTTATGAATATGATTTCGTTGTAAACAGGAGAATGCACAAAGGGGCAACTCCCCCCCCCCCCCCCCCAATAACTACATGCATACGGACCCGATCGTTTGGTGAATGTAATTCTAAGCATATGATGTGTTTGCCTATGTTGATATAGTTATATTAATAAACGTGTTTTATGGTGCCCCCTTCACCCCACCCCCAATAAAAACAATCAAATTTATATTCCTGCGCACACTCACGGTTATCGATTCGGTGGAGACAAATACCTAGAGTAATCTCCAGTGAGTACAAAATGCAATTTAGTTGTTCCATAAGGGAATGAAATCGTGATTGACCTGTGTCTATATAGGTGGCGCTAAACATAATCTTGAAGCACAGAAACGATTATTTCATCTTCAGAATATGGTAGTATCAATGTAAGCTTATCAATTGTTTAACATACTTTCCACACACAGTGGCTCAGTGGTATGTCTGAAGGCTCATAATGCTAAAGCCCGGAATTCGATACCCGTGATGGATAATCCATTGTGTAGTTTAGTACTTAAAGATAAAGAAAAACCATCAATGTCTGGAAATAGATTTTTTTCACCTGGTGTGGGCATATAAATTATTAGGAAGTTGTTTTTTCACCTGATGTGAGCATACAAATTTTAGGAAGTTGAATTCCATCTGGTGTGGGCATACAAATTTTAGGAAGTTGAAGTCCATCTGGTGTGGGCATACAAATTCTCAGGAAGTTGTTTTTTACCTGGTGTGGGCATACACATTCTTAGGAAGTTGGGTTTGTATGTGGG